TAGTCCCTCCTGAAGTTCGAGGTGGTGAGGTGAAAACTTACAAGAATGACTCAGTAAAGGACCAAGCATAAAAGAGGCTGTGGCCTAGGCAGGGATTTTAAATCGGAAAACATGAGTTCTAGCCCTGGCTTTGAAAGGAAACTTGCAAAGGGGTCCAAGCTCCCTGGGCTTCAGACCCCTTAGATGTAAAAATAAGGAGCTAGACCACAGAGGTTTAGGCCACAGAGTGCACATGACAATGGCTCTCCCAGAGTGCGCTCTCTCTCTCCTCCCAGGAGCCCTACTTCCTGCCTGTGCACTCCTCAGGGCCCTGGAATCCATACTGCCCCCCAGGCAGGGGACTGTTTGGGCTGCCTGCCCTATCCTGCCCTCCTTCCACAGCGTCCTGTCCTCATTGCAATCATGCCAGGAAACTTACCAGACTGGTACATCTGAGGTAGATGATGCAAAGTAAAACACTAAATGTTAGAGGACAGTGTAGGGGAAGAACATTTGTAGTCAAAATAGCTGTAATTCAGCAAGTCAGTTAGAAGAAGTAATTTTTTTCTGCATCTCTAAGACTCTAAGAGATGAAGTTGAATATAATAACACTTCTTGTTATTGATGCCGGGGTTCTTGTTCATGGAGCCGAAGAATGAACTTCACAAATGCTCAAGATAGGAAAGCAAGGTAGAGGCTTTTATTTAGAGATAAAATGAGAGGACAGAGCTCCTCGGGGACAAGAGAGTCCCTGGTGGTACGTTGCCTAGGGGTTTTATGCACGGTTGAGGATTTTCAAGAATGGGGGTAAAGGGTTAGGGGTGCAGACTTGTATTAGAATGCTCATTTTTGATGAGTAATAGAAGAAATTTGCTGCTCTGATTTTTCTCAGGATAGCAGCTTCCCTCTGGGAGCCTATCAGTAAAGACTGCCTGTTCTGCCCCCAAGATGGGCTGAACTGTTGCCTGTTTGCTAAAGAGTGTGTTAAGAATCTTACTTCTTAACTTTTTGGGATGTTTTATAGCTGAGCTTGCTTACTAAATTAATCTTTTGCTCAGGTTGCAGATTACTTCATTAGGATTAGAGAAAGAAACACAGCATATAGGTACAGTTAAAAATAAACTGGGCCTTTTAGCAGGCTAAGGTGAATTTTACAGTGTCATGGTCTAATTGATAAAATAAAGTCACGGGTTATGCTGAGATACTCTTCTTTTTTTTTCGTAAGATAAAAATTTTATAATTATTTTGTCAATATCACAGATAATTACATATTAAACTGCTTTAAGAATAGGAGGCTGTTTTTATTAAATCTATATTTCTAAAGTTGCTCATATTCTTCATTTTTAAAAACTCAGTGGATTGCTTATAATGTAATCAAAATGTCTGTTATTATCGATTTATTATAAATTTAATATCTCTATTTGATTTGTAACATCTTTCCTGTCTGTTAGATCTTATGGACTAGTTTTCTAGGGAACATACATTCACATCTATGGTTCAGAAGATTTCATTTGACACAGCACAATTTTATAAACAGGATTTTGGATACATACCTGACTGGGCATGCACAATATTTAGGGCTCTAGTTAGACAATTTCAGGCATTAATTTATATATCAACTATCTAAAATTTTTAATTATTCCCTTTATCTTACCCATTTGATAGTCAATGTTAACTATTTCTGAAATGTATGTTTTTTTTTTTTGAGAGGGCATCTGTCATATTTATTGATCAAATGGTTGTTAACAACAATAAAATTCTGTATAGGGGAGTCAATGCTCAATGCACAATCATTAATCCACCCCAAGCCTAATTTTCATCAGTCTCCAATCTTCTGAAGCATAACGAACAAGTTCTTACATGGTGAACAAATTCTTACATAGTGAATAAGTTCTTACATGGTGAACAGTACAAGGGCAGTCATCACAGAAACTTTCAGTTTTGATCACGCATTATGAACTATAAACAATCAGATCAAATATGAATATTCGTTTGATTTTTATACTTGATTTATATGTGGATCCCACATTTCTCCCTTTATTATTATTATTATTTTTTTTTTAATAAAATGCTGAAGTGGTAGGTAGATGCAAGAGAAAGGTAGAAAACATAGTTTAGTGCTGTAAGAGGGCAAATGTAGATGCTCAGGTGTGTGCCTGTAGACTATGTGTTAATCCAAGCTAGACAAGGGCAATAAAACATCCACGGATGCAGAAGATTTGAGATACTCTTCTTTATCTGCATTCAAACATTCCAGGCCAAGTTGCTCCTGGCCCTCTGGGCTTTAACTAATCTCACTGAAGAATGTCTATATTCCTAGTCTGGTATCTTTACCCTAGAGAATTAGTGTGACTCTTGACTTTGCATAATGCTTAACACAGAGTTTCAACAGGCTTCTTTGCACACTGTTACATTGTTCTGACTGTGATTATCTTGTGTTCCCTTTTTTTCCTGAGGCCCTCACAGTACTCTGCCTACACCAGGGTCCCTGTCTCATTATCATATATTTTAAATCACAAAAAGCCTTGTTTGTGACTTAGAATTGTACTTTAATTAGGGTTGCAGACTTAAAAACAACAAAAAGTACCGAACACCCAGCTAGATTTGAATTTCAGATAAACAACCACTTTTTAATATAGGTATATATCAAATATTGCAAAAGATATGCTTAGACTTAAAACTATCAAAGTATTGTTTGAAGAGTTTGGCATGGCTTATAAACATTTATGTGAAACAGAAATCAGTCTGTATTTAAGTTATATTTTAAGTTATTTAAGTTATATCGTTTACATATTGCTATCAAATTGTTACAATAACATTTATTGAATACTATTTCATTTCCCAATTATTTATTTGGTTGCTTATGATTGAGCCTATTCCGATGATGCTACTCAGATGTGTTCCAATGGCAAAGCACCTGGAAGTTATGGGACTCAGCAAAATATCGTGACATACGGACATATGAAAGTTAAAATAATGAAAATAAAAATTTGATGCTAAGTTGGGCACTTGCTTGTACTAGATTCTAGTATAGTATATATATCATGAGACACCAGCAGTTTTTTTTTTAATGGGATAAATGTTAAAATTGAAAAAATTCCATCCAATAACTTAATTCCAAGAATCAAGAAAAGAACACCCACCCAAGGAACAGCAAGTTTATCAAAAGCAGAAGTTGAGCACATCTTACATTAAGCATTCTTAGTTGAGAATATAAATAAAAGTTTCTGATCAGTTGTAAACACTACAAAAAGTCCAGCTGAACTGGGATAAACTCCAGCTGAACCCAAATGCTATTTAAGATCAGCCTCTTGAGTTGCCGTAGTTGGAACTCCTGTAATATTAGTTCTGGGGAGAGTAGCAGATCTCCAGTGCATGTTCACACCAGCACCCTCAACTCCAGATGCTTCTGTCCATTAATCTATAAATCAGAGGAGGTGACACAAAAGGGCTTCACGATCTTGTGTTCTACAGAATGGAGACTTGGTACAGAATGTGGACTTCACAAAGCAAGTAGGAGACTGGAACTATCAGAAAGAAGCCATTTCAATTCTGGATTCCTTATACTCTGAGGATAATGCCAACACAACAGACTGGAATCCTGTCCTATGCCCAGACTTCCTGAAAATGTAGAAAAGGATGTCTGTTAAGGCTAGTGGAACCCCAAACAAGCAAAATAATTTTGCTGTGCTAGTTAATATTTCTCAATGGAGCTTACTTTCACTTAGATCTTTGGCTTTTTTTTTTTTAATTCCTTGTTAGAAAAGGTAGTATACTATAGTTTAAAAAAAACTACAGTCTTCTTGCTAGAACAAGAGGTAAGAGATCTAGGGTTGGGTCCCCACTTTGCCACTTGATCTGGGATGAGTCATTCAGCATTTATGAGTCTGCTTCCTTTTCTGAAAAAAAATGGGTATTTAGAATGGATGGTTCCTAAACTCCTGTATGGTTCTAATAGTCTTGTTCAAATGTAGATATGTGCCAACTCAAGAAAATTAAAAATGCAAAACTTTATACTTATGAAATTGGTAATTCACTATTCGTAATGGTCCTTGCTGAGTCATTCTTCACTTAAAAATTCCTGAAGAATTTCCCTAAATAGTAGGAATCTCTAGTGAAGCCAAACCATGATGCCAAGTACAAATCTCCAACTCTTTTTTATGAATAAGGAGTCTCTGATACACACTTGGTCCAGGAAAAGATCTCTTCTCTAGACCATGACATTCATGAATAATATCCTATGGCAGCCCCGGCTCGAGTGTATGTGTGTATGTGTGTGGTGACAAGAGGTTAGAACTGTTGAATCCTGATTCAAATGCAGTGCCAAACAACAGCAGATTCCACGAAAATCATTTGCTTGGAAAGGAAATAAATCATGACTTCACTGGACACGTGGTTTCTTAATCTCCAGTTCATTCTTGGTGCCAGGTTCTGAAATCATAACTAACACAGAGAGGCTGTTCCGTGAAGTCGTGCGGTCCTCCTTTCCCCTTTTCCTTTGCACTACCTAGAGATTGCATGGATCAATGGCATTGTTCAAAGCATTTCAGTAAATACGAGCTCAAACCATTTTTCCTCCAAAATATGTCCCACTGAAAGTTTTGCTTCTCATCTACCCAAGAGTGTGTGTGCTCCAGATGTCTCTGAACTCTCAGACTATCCCAGATTGCCTTTCGTGTCCTTAGTCATCCCACTGAGAGGGCACTCTCTACTCTAAGGCTGATCACCAATTTCTACTTCACCAATGTGGATTGACCAATTTGCTTTCTATCACTCGACTGCTGATCCAGGTAAGAAAGAGGAAGGCAAAGTTACAGACAGTGGCTCTTGTTTACACTCAGTGATTCCTGTGTGTGTGTGCTTTCTTGGATGACATTTCTCCCAATACTAGCAAAGTTCTAACATGCCCACTAAAATGGGGCCCAGTTTCTACTGAGCACATTCATGTGAAGAGTAGTTTTTCACTTAATTTTCCCAACACCTCAGATGGTTTACAGTAAACTTTTGCTTTCTTGTTGCAGGTTCAGAAAATGGTCTCATTCAGAAGCAGCGAACAACTCGCCGAAGATGTCAACAACCCAAACTGTTGAGTAGCCCTGAGGACACCATGTACTATAACCAGTTAAATGTAAGTTCAAAGTGGCCATAAAGCTGTTTTACTGGCTTTGTTTCTAGTTAATAATTCTGTTATTAATACCTGTTCCAGCCCCTCCAGCCCCACCCCCACTCTCCTACGCTCTCGTCTTGAACATGTGCTTAGGCTCTTTATCTGTTGCTTTCATGTCAGGATGTCTGCCTTCACGGTGAATAATTGATGTGGTTTATCAAAGACGAGCAAGATGCATGCTTCATCAGGCTCACTTGAGCCCTTTGATCAAAAAAATTATGCTGTGACTTCTGATATTATCAGCATCTGCTTGCATTCAACACAAAATCACTTTGAATTAAAAATTAACGATTTGCTGCTTTGCTTTGACTGTGTGTTCTTGGCCCTCTCCACAGGGAACTCTAGAATATCAAGGGAGCAAGAGGAAGCCAAGAAAACTTGGGTAAATATCTGTCTTCTTAGTTCTAAGCAACTGTAAACAGAAAGGGTCCTTTGTGATATTACAGAAAATGCAAACTTTCCAGAGAGGCTTCTAAAAATAAGCAGTGGGGATATCACCAATATTATTGACATTGGAAACTACTTTTCACAGTAGCAGGTACGTAAAACCTTGAATCTATTATGTCTGAAAAGGCTGAAATTACCACCTAAAGGCAAATGTTCTCTCTCAAATTAACCCAGGGAATTGTGCATTCCTCATAACTGGAGATGTAGCAGATTGTATAAAACCCTCCCACAAATAAGAGCACTCCACACAGTGCAAATAGGCTGCTTCCCCCACATTACCCTACCCCTGGGTGTTAAAGGCACACAAAGGAAAATTTCCCCCAATGGTTAGATAGAGGACACTAAGGAGTTTGTGGCTCATTTGATTGTTAGCATTTCAATTGAGAATAGCAGCGATGCAGGTAATTGGTTACTAGCTTTGAGAACTGGAGGGGGCAGGAGGGGAACTTTCTCATCTTGAGGAAAGCAGAGACAGAGAAGTTAGTTCACATAAATCAAGTTGCAACAACTTTCAGGCACCACGAAATTAGGCCTGTCATCAGTGTGTGACCCAGAGGTGAAAGGTTTTGTGCATCAGACCCCAGTTCCTCTGCTAGGAGAGCCTGAGCTTCCCTAAGCTGCCCTTGCCCTCCAGTGTGGGGAGCCAAGCCTGTTCACAGTACTCACACAACTTTAGCCGTCCCAGTGATGACTATAGCATTTGTTTTATTTTTCTGCTGAAAACTCTTTCTTTGTTGCAGCCAAATCAAAGTGCTTGATGGGGAAGATGAATATTATAAATCTCTGTCACCTGTGGACTCCCTCCCAGAGGAAGACAACTCAGCCAATCCTTTCTTTGTTTCCTCATCCTCTAAAGGAGCACCTTTTGCTAGGCACTGAGCTGTACTTCCTGTCCCATAGATCTGTTGAGCGTAAGAACAGTCACGGTAATTGACTGACTGTCAGTTACTAAGAAAGCACTGTAATGGGGTCAACTTCTTTGGACATGTGGTCTGTGCCGGAGCCTCACTGAACAATTTTCAGATTCCTAGCCATTTTCTCATACCAATCTGCAGTGCAACATGAGCTGGGAAGTTCTTCCCTTCCTAATGCCATGGGTCTCTGTGGGACACTGAGCACACTGCCACTGTAGCAATAGCCGTCATTTATGCTCCCAACATCTAAGAGGGTAACACACACAATCTCATCATAAAAATTGTGAATGTTTATATTTCTTTATTTTCCTCAAGTCAATCCATACAGAATCTGCTCCTGTGAAAATCCAGGAGTCTTCTTCCTCCCCACCTCTCCACGGCATCCTCCTTTCCCTTTGCTGTTCTTTCTACCTGCCTGCCTCTCCCCATGGTCTGGGCTCCATTGCTGAGGGTTCCCATCCTTAAGAAGTGCATTCAAGGTCTCCTAGGCCAGAATAATTTTTAGTGTTTAGGGGGAAAGAACTAAATCTTTCAGATTTTTTTCTATGAGAGAATGAACCCTCTCTTGCTAATTATTATGCTGATAAAGATTTCCTCTTTATTCCCATCCACCCCCATCACCTTAGCAATAAAAAAAAGGAGAGAGAAAGAAAACTTGGACCTGTCAAGAGTCCATGCAGGTGGTTTAGTAACTCCATTCTCTGGGAAGCTGGCTCCATTGGGCTGTAAAGGGCCATAGGGGAAGGATCTGGTCTTGTCCACCTGTGTGTGCACAGAACTGGTGTAGTGCCTGGCACAGATGGACATCCAGTAAATGCCGACTCTTGAATGAATGGAGAGGCTTTACTTAGTTACAGGAAAGTTACTTTCAATTTCATGTTATACAAAACTAATCACACTTTAAGCAGCATAAGCTCTGATTTTTCCCTGGAAGTTAGGCTAGTCCTATTATAATTATGTCATACCATATATTGTAATACTCAATATGATTCAATACAAAATATTTTTTTGACTAACTACTCTATGCAATACAATATGTGAGGTTGCTGTGTGATGTAAAAAAACCCTACAACACCTTTTCTCTAGAACAGATGTTCTCAACATTTTTCATACTCCAAAATACTTGGCAGATATTACACATGGGAATACCCAGATTTTGAGAAAAAAAATCAGAGTTTTAACAAGGAGAATTTTAATAAGCATTTTACAAATAGGAAATAATGAAGTGTGACATCAGAAATTGTAATTTTATAAGAAAAATAAATAAATATAACCAATTATTCTATAGTTAAACTTCTGTTTTTGAAAAATGAGTCTTGATTTTTTTCCCAGATCTTCACTGCAGGCTAATGTTTGTAAGGTTTGTTAGAGCAGAAAAAACACAAATGAACTTTATTTTATTGTTTAAAAATTAATATCTAGGATATGTAGATTTTTAACATTGTTATTAAGATAAGGGTTTTTTGAAATTTCACTTTTATCATTGATTCATCTACTTTTGATTTGCTATTTGAATAGCTGCTTTTCAAATTGTTGGATAGAAAAGTTCATAACTTCCTACTTGTCTGTGTACAAAGTAATTGTATACCTGCCTTGTTTCTAAAAAATGTATCTATAAATAAAGTTAAAAAGGAAATAGAAGTGATTATAAAATTATACTTCCAAAGCTCTGCAACAATTGGTCATTACAGCTATAACTCCTACCAGAACTTAAGATAGAGTATGCACTATCAGCTATGGAATAGATAAGACAGACTGTAGGTACTATTCTTGGGCTAATCATAATGCCACACAATCAAAAAGCAATTCTTAAATCAAGTAGAGGAAATGATACAACCTGAGATTTCATAAATGTCGTATTAGATTTATCAAAGTGATATGCACAAGGCAAAAACAAAACAAAATCATAGTCCAGAGGGTTTATAGTGGAAAGCAATCTTCTTCTCCCTGTCCTAATCTTAGTCCCTCCCCCAAGGAGCAGCCACTTTTTGTTCTAATTCTAATTATTTTAATGGTTTCCATCAGGTCTCTGAATAATTTGCTTCTACCTTCTTGATATATCACTTTAGACAATATCTACTTTCCCCATCTATGAAAGAATTGCATTTATCTCAATTCCACCTCCCCTCTCTTACTTCATCCAGTGTTTAGAATTTTATGTTTAAATTTATGTTGATTATCTTTTAAATTAACTTATATAATTAAATGCCTATTTTTTATACCACTGACTTTAGCCAGTACTCTACCAGGAAGCTAGCATGAAGGAAACCAACAGGCTGAAGAACAATGTCAAGACAAACAGAATGACTGAGCCTGGGCAAAATACAGATAATTCTGGAAGCAGAACAATTTTTACAGCTTCACTGCAAACCCTTGGTGTTCATGTTCTGCGCTGCTCTTCTTTCATTTTGATTCATCTGCAAAAATGCCTCCACTCACTTTCTAAACTTTCTTTTTTCTTTTTAAATGTAATACATATACAGAAAATAGTGCAAATCAGAAGACTCAGCTCAATAAGTTAACAGAAAGTGAGCATCTATGTAACCACCCCCGCAGTCTGATAAGTTATCAGAAAATGAACATCTATATAACCACCTCTACAGTCAAGGAGAATACTGTCAGCATCCTGGAAGTCTCCCTCACGCCCCTCTTCAATCACTACTATCCCTTCCCATCTCCCCAAAGACAAGCCTTCTCATGACTCTTACAGTAAACATTTCCTTGATTTTCCTTATAATTTTACCACTATAATGCATTCCTAAGCACTAACATGCATTTGCCTTTTGTAGTTAGGTTTTGGGAACTTTATATAAATGGAGTCATGTAGTACATAATTTGGGGGGTCTTATTTCTTTTATTCAATATTATATTTGTAAGATTAATCTATGTTGTAGAATGTCAATACAGTTCATTTATTTGTATGACTGCATGAATTCCAGCATAAGAATATGACATAATTGATTTAGCCATTCTACTTTTGATAGACAAATATGAATTGTTTCCAATTGGGGGCTATTTTGGAATTGCAATTATGGACGTTGTACATGTCTTTTCATGTATATTTGCATGCATGTCTATTGGCTATAAACCTAGGATTAGGATTGCAGGGTCCTAAAGTACATATATCAGCACTTCAATAGATAATAGCAAACTTTTCCTAAGTGATTTTACCAATTTACAATCACACCAGTGGAATAAGAGAGCATCCATTGTTCTACAGTCTCATTAACTCACGCTGTTAGTCTCTTCATAGGGGCACTCTGATACGTGTATGGTACTATTCACTGTGATTATAGCTTACTTATCATTAATTAATAATGACATTGGGCACATTTTTATGTGTTTAGTGGTCAGTTTAGATACCTTCTTTTGTGATACACCCATTTTTATTGAGTTAACTATTTTTTCCTTTTAATTTGAGATACGTATTACATATTGTTACTTATATGTGTTACAAATATTTGCCACATTAGATGGCTTGCCTTATCAGTCTCTTAAAGTAACTTTTGATGATAAATGTTTTTAATTTTAACATAGTACAACTTATTAATCTTCCTTTTTTATTAGTTTTTTATGGCCTGTAGAGAAATCTTGTCCTATACCAAGGTCATAAAGATATTTACCTTCAAGTTCTTCTGGAGGCATTATTATTTTTTCTTTTACATTTGTATCTTCCATTCAAAATTGATTTTGTAAATGCAGTGAGGATCAATTTCCATGTTTTCTATAATGCATATTCAACTATCTGGAACACATTTAATGAAAAGGCCATCTTTTTCCTACTACTCTAAAATACTACCATTTACATGAATCAAGTGATAATGGGTCTCTTGATTCTTATTCTGTTCCATTGATCTGTTTGTTCCCCTTGTCTTAAATATTATACCTTTACAATAGATCTTGGTATATGACAGAGCCAATCTTCCAAAATTGTTTTTCTTCTCCAAAAGATCCTTGATTAGTCTAGGCCTTTTGCATATTATAGATTCAAACAGTCAACTTCTTGGGTGGGGTGCTGCTGAGATTTTTCTTTAGGATTATCTTGTATCTTTAAGTCATTTTGGAAGGAATTGTCATGTTTATAGTATTGAATTGTTCAATCCATGAACATGGCATATCCTTCTGTTTCTTAGTTATTCCTTCTCTTTTCTCAATAATTTATAATCTTATGTGAGAAATATTACATGTATTTTGTTAGTTTTATTCCTATGTATCACATATAACTTTTTATTATTTTAAGTTGTTTTCTGATTTTTGTTTTCTATTTATTGCTTGCTATAAACTAAATGTTTATGTCCCCCCCAAAATTCATATGTTGAAACCTAATCCTCAATTTAGCAGTGAGGCCTCTGGGAGCTGATTAGGTCATGAAGATGGAGCCTTTATGAATTGGATTAGTTCCTTTACAAAGGAGAGCTCAGAGAGAGCTTGTTTTCTTCTTCCATAGGTGAAACACAGTGAAGGGAGACAGCTTTCTGTGAACTGGGAAGCAGGCTGTTACCAGACATCAAATCTGGTGGCACCTTGATTTTGTACTTCCTAGCCTCCAAAACTTTGAGAGAGAAATTTCTGTTGTTTAAGCCACCGAGTCTATAATATTCTGTTACAACAGACTAAACAGACTAACACATTGCTCTTACATGCAGTTGACATTTCGTATTTGAGATCCATCAACTTTGCTAAATTTACTCATTCATTCCAATAATCTATCTGTAGATATTTTTGGATTTTCTCATACACAACTATACTCTCTGCAAATAACTATAGACTTTTTCTTCCTTTTCAACATTGGTACTTTTTTTAACTGAACTCCCCTTATCAGTAGCTACTGCTGCATTATAAGCCACCGCAAATCAAGCATATTTCTCACAAGTCCCACAAGTTGGCTGAATATTTCTGCTTATTTGAGCTAGTCTTGTCAGGGCTCACTTGTGCATCTGCAATTAGCAAAGCAGCTTTGCTGATGTTGGTTGGGTTCCTCACATATCTATGCCCCAGCAAGGACAGCTGGGATGACTTAGTTCTATTCTACATGGTTTCATCCTCCAGTTTGCTGTTATCCCCAACAGCAGTAATAGAGTCTCCAAAAAAGAAAGAGAGAAAGAAAAAAGAGGAGTGTCTCTCTTTAGGCTTCAAACTGTACATTGTCAATTCCACCATATTTTTTTCTTTTTTGGGGGGTATCATTAATCTACAATTACATGAGCAACATTATGGTTACTAGATTTCCCCCATTATCAAGTCCCCCCCACATACCCCATTACAGTCACTGTCCATCAGCGTAGTAAGATGCTATAGAATCACTACTTGTCTTCGCTGTGTTGTACAGCCTTTCCCATGCCCTGTCCCCTACATTATGTGTGCTAATCATAATGCCCCTTTTTCCCCCTTATCCCTCCCTTCCCACCCTTCTTCCCCAGTCCCTTTCCCTTTGGTAACCATTAGTCCATTCTTGGGTTCTGTGAGTCTGTGATGTTGTTTTGTTCCTTCAGTTTTCTCTTTGTTCTTATACTCCATTTAAGATGAGTGAAATCACTTGATACTTGTCTTTCTCCACCTGGCTTATTTCACTGAGCATAATACCCTCTAGCTTCATCCATATTGTTGCAAATGGTAGGATTTATTTTCTTCCTATGGCTGAATAATATTCCATTGTGTATATACACCACATCTTCTTTATCCATTCATCTACTGATGAACACTTAGGTTGCTTCCATATCTTGGCTGTTCTAAATAGTGCTACGATAAACATAGGGATGCATATGTCTTTTTCAAACTGGGCTGCTGCATTCTTAGGGTAAATTCCTAGGAATGGAATTCCTGGGTCAAATGGTATTTCTATTTTTAGCTTTTTGAGGAACCTCTATACTGCTTTCCACAATGGTTGAATGAACTAATTTACATTCCCACCAGCAGTGCAGGAGGGTTCCCCTTTCTCCACATCCTCACCAACATTTGTTGTTGTTTGTCTTTTGGATGGTGGCAATCCTTACTGGTGTGAGGTGATATCTCATTGTGGTTTTAATTTTCATTTCTCTCATGATTAGCGATGTGGAGCATCTTTTCAGGTGCCTGTTGGCCATCTGAATTTCTTCTTTGGAGAAGTGTCTGTTCAGATCCTCTGCTCCCACCACATTCTTTTAACCAAAGTGAAACTACAAGGCCAGCCCAGATTCAAGATTGGGTAAATAGAATCCATCTCTTGATGGAAAGGGCTACAAAGTCAGTTACACCGCAAACGGCATGGATGGAGGGGGAGAGAGAGAGATTTGGAGTCACTTTTTAAATTAATATGCCACACTGACCTGGCTAACATTTCCAGTACAGGCTGTAGGAGGGCTAATAGTAGGCACTCTTGTCTTTCCCAGTCTCAAAGGAAAAATATTCAGTATTTTGACAGTAATTAAATTTGCTGTTCCTTTTTTTTGTGGATATTTGATTTTATCAAATGAAATGATGAAATTAACATGTAAATTTTTAATTCTCATAATATCCCTATTTGTCTTTCTTTGGAAGAGTTTGTATAAGAATGACATTAATTCTTAAATTTTTTTA